ATAAAGAATAACTTAGGACAAGATGAATTCACAATTGAATTGTACAAGTTCTTTAAAGAAGAACTAACATCAGGGCGCCTTATTCTACAAAACCAGAATGACCTATACCAAACCAGATGAAAACAAATCAAGAAAAGAAAATATCCTTGATGAACGTAAGTACAAAAATCCTTAACAAAATGTGTTTTAGTCAGCTTTCTCACCACTGTGACTAAAAGATTTGACTAGAACTATTGTAGAGAAGGAAAAGTTTATTTGGAGGCATATGATTTGAACAGTCTCAGTCCATAGACAGCCAGCTCCATTCCTTGGGAACATCATGGTGGAAGAGTATGGTGAAGGGAAGCAGCTCACATGGTGATCAGGAAGCATAGACTCCACTTGCCAGATACAAAATATATACCTCAAACCTATGCCCCCCAATGACCATCTCCTCTAGCCACACCCTGTCACTTCAGTTACCACTCAATTAATCCCTATCATGGCATTAATTCACTGATTGGGTTAAAACTCTCACAACCCAATCATGTCTCCTCTGAACCTTCTTGCATTGTCTCACAGGTAAGCTTCTGGGGGACACCTCACATCCAAACCATATCAACTTATAAAGCAAATTCAACAACACATCAAAAATATCATACATCATGATCAAGGTGGTTTCATCCCACAGATGCAAGGATTTTTCAATATTCACAAATTGATAAATGTAAAACACCCCATAAGTAGAACTGAGGTAAGAAACCACATGATGATCTCAATAGATGGAGAAAAAGCCTTGGACAAAAATTAACACCTCTTCATGAAAAAAGCCCTTAAAAAAACTAAGGATTTTTATCTAAACATAATATAGGCTAAATACAACCAACCTGAAGCCAATATCATATTGAATGGGGAAAAACTGAAAGCATTTCCTCTTAAGTCAGGAGCAAGACAAGAATGTCTATTCAATATAGTACTTGAAATTTTAGCCAAAGCAATTAAGCAAAAGAAAGAAATAAAAGGAAGAAAGAAGAAATAAAAGAACAGGAAGAAATTAAATGATCCCTATTTGTAGATGACATGATAACCTGCAAAAGACCATAAAGGCTCTAGATCTGATAAGGACATTCAGCAAAGTGGTAGGATACACAATCAACATACAAAAAATCAATGGTTTTTCTATACACAAGTAATGAATCCAATGAGAAAGAAAAAAAGAAAACAAATCCATTCCAGCCTCATATCTATCTCTATCTCTCTCTCTTTCTCTCTCTCTCTCTACACACACACAGGAATAAATTTAAACAAAGAAGTGAAAGACTTCTATGGGGAAATCTACAGAACACTGAATAAAGAAATAGAAGACACTAAAAGATGGAAAGAACTCTTATGTTCAAAAGTAGGAAGAATTAATAGCATCATTAATCTCTAGGATATATAAGAACTCAAAAAAACTTAACAACAAAAAAACAAATAACCCAATCAATAAATGGGCCAAGGAACTGAACAGACACTTCACAGAAGAAGAAATACAATTGATCAACAAATATATGAAAAGTGTTCAACATCTCTAGCAACTAAAAAAAAATGCAAATCAAAACAATTCTAAGATTTCATCTCACTCCTGTCAGAATGGCAATCATCAAGAATACAGGCAACAATAAATGTTGGCGAGGATGTGGAGAAAAAGGTACACTCATACATTGCTGGTGGGACTGCAAACTGGTGCAACCACTGTGGAAGGCAGTATGAAGATTCCTCAGAAAATTGGGAATGGAACACCATTTGACCCCAGCTATCCCACTCCTTGGTTTATACCCAAAGGACTTAAAATCAGCATACTATAGAAATGCAGCCATATCAATGTTTATAGCAGCTCAATTCACAATAGCAGGACTATGGAACCAACCTAGGTGTCCCTCAATAGATGAATGGATAAAGAAAATGTGGTATACATACTCAATAGAATATTACTCAGCTTTAAAGAAGAATGAAATTATGGCATTTGACAATAAATGATTAGAGTTGAAGAATATCATGCTAAGTGAAATAAGCCAATCCCACAAAACCAAAGGCCAATTGTTTTCTCTACTATGTGGATGCTAATTCACAGTAAGGCGGGGGGCACTAGGAAAGAATAGCATTACCTCAGATTAGGTAGAGGGAAGTGATGGGAAGGGAGGAGAGGAGATGTGGGGATAGCAAAGACAGTAGAATGAAACAGACATTATTACTGTATGTGTATATGTGACCACATGACCATGATTCTACAACATGTACACTCAAAAAAATGAGAAATTGGGCTGGGATGTAGCTCAGCGGCAAAGCGTCTGCCTTGCATTCGCAAAGCCCTGGGTTCGACCCCCAGTTCCAAAAAAGACCAAAAAAAGAACCCCACCAAAAAAAGAATAAGATTTTTAAAAAATGAGAAATTATATCCCCTCTATGTATGATATACCAAAGTACATAAATGCATGCTACTGTCATGCATAACTAGTTTCAAAAATTTTAAAAATTTTTAAAAAGATAACTGAAATGTAAGATTAAATAACAAACACTATTGAACCTTGGAAAAAATGGCCATGTTAACCAAAAGTGATTCAGAGGTTAAATGTGATCCCCATCAAAATACCAATGATAGTCTTCACAGAACAAGGAGAGGGGGGAGTCATAAAACTCATCTGAAAGAATAAAAGACCCAGAATAGCCAAGATATTTCTAACCAAAAAGAGCAATCCTGGAAGAATCACAATACTCAATTTTAAATTATATTACAGAGTTATAGTAACAAAAAAAGAATGATACTGGCATAAAAAAGACACACAGAACCATGAAACAAAACTGAAGACAGAGACAAACCTACAGATATAGTCATCTGATTTTTGACAAATGTACCAAAAAACATACATTGGAGAAAAGACAATCTCTTTAACAAACAGTGTTGGGAAAACTGGATATCCATATGTAATCGAAAAAACCTAGATTGCTATCTCTCACCCTGCTCAAAAGTCAACTCAAAATGGATCAAAGACCTATGAATAAAACCAGAAACTTTGAAACTGTTACAGAAAAACTTAAGGGAAATGCTTCAACAACAACAACAAAAAAAAATTCAAATAAGGGAATTACTGACCAAACAAACAATTCTCAAAGTAAGTACAAATGTTCAACTGTTTAGCCATCAGGAAAATGCAAATCAAAACTACACTGAGGCTTCATCTTACTCCAGTCAGAATGGCAATACAAATAACAATAAACGCTGGTGAGGGAGCAGGGAAAAGGACCCCTGATACACTGTTGGTGGAAATACACAGTAGAATAGCCAGTATGGAAGTCAGCATGGAGGTCTCTCAAAAAACTAAATATGGAACTACCGCATGATTCAGCTGTATCACTTCTTGGTATCCATCCAGAAGAACTCAAAACAGCATACTCTAGAGGTAATGTGCATTCTCACATTTAATAGAAGCACAATTCATAATAGCTAAGTTCCAGTCTAGGAATCTGTCAACAGATGAATGAGCTAAAAAATGTGGCACTAGTTTGGATGCAAGGTGTCTCCTAAAAGCTCACGTGTGAGACAATGCAAGAAGTTTCAGGCATATATACACAATGCAGTTTTATTCAACCATAAAGACGAGCAAAATTATATCATTTGCAGAAAAAAAGGATGGAATTGGAAAGCATTTTGTTAAGCAAAGTAAGTCAGACTCAGAAAGTCAAGAGTCCTATTGTTTTCTCTCATGGAAGAAAAAAAAAGAAGGGTAAAGAAAAGAAAAAGAAAAAAAAAAAATGATCTCACGAAAACACAAGGTAGACCAATAGGGCAGAGGAAGAAGGTCAGGGAAAGGGAAGGGGGGAAGGAAAGGGGAGGTACTGGGGAGTAAAACTGATCCAATTATGGTATGTGCATGTATAAATATATCACAATGAAAACCCACCATTCTGTATAATTAATATGCATCAATAAGAAATGTTTTAAATCAAATTGATGATTTAGATAAAAACATCAACTCTTCTATTTGTATAATTCAGAAAAAAGTACATATACACAAAATAATCTAGCAGTACATTTTACCATGATGTAAAAATATGACCATCAACATAAAGAATGGGAAATAAAAAGAGAAAATTACAGGAGAAAAAGAGACTCAAGTACTCCCACACCAAAAAAAAAAATTTCCCTATTTTCCTCTCCTGCTCTACACATATACATACAGGAAAGCAAGAATAAAAATAGGAACAAATATTCTCATAAAGATCTCAATCTCCTTACCACTGGAAATGCTCGTGCTGCATTACATGTTTGCAGCATGGACACCATAGGGAAATCATCCTCAGATGAGGATGAGAGATTCGGTCAGCCAGGAATTCCTGGTTCCTGTTCCATATACTCAGTCAAGGTGCCCCATAATGACATTTCAGTCACCCAAGAACTACATACGTGACAGTGGTCCCAAAAGATTACACCACCTAGTGACACTGCAGCCATCTTAGTTTGTGTTAAGTACCCTTTATCAAGTTCGTACAGAGTTCCTAACAAGGCACTTCTCAGAACATGTCCCTGGCCTTAAGCAAGTGACTCTGTAACTATATTTCTTTAAGCAGAATCATACTGTTTTAATCCATTTACACATTAATGACTTTTAATTAACAGTGAATATATATGATAGTGATGATAAGGGTATAAATATATATATATATATATATATATATATAAACTTATCTAAGATAGATAAGTGGTTCTGCTGGAGGTGCCTAAGTAAATGCAACAAAAGCATCACTGAATACACTAGTTTCTTATACACTTCAGAGTGCATGGAACATTAAAAAGCTAGATAGTGACCATCAAACAATGGCATCAGTTCTAACAGTGGTACTTTTAATCCCAAAATAGACTAAGAGGCTAACCATACCAACAAATTATTATACTGTCAAGTAAGATTTCTACTGTTATATAATAAAATCTAATCTGATGAGTAATCACTTGAAGTTCTATGTAATGCAAAAAGCAACCTTACCTTAAAGCAGAGTAGACACCCAGTGACAGAAATGAATAATCAGGATCATAGTACAAATACACAGATGAAACACAGTATGGAAGGATGTCAATCACCCCCACAGCAATGATCTTCCCATCAAGCCAGTACTGCTGGTGAAAGGAGCCATAACCACACTCTGGTCCATTAGGGGGATACTCTGCCTATGAAAAATAGATACACAAACATGAAGTTTGCCATTTTTCCTTATATTTAAAAAAATCTCATAATTAATCTAGCAGACTTGTATTTTACTAAGTTAAATAAGTCCTAAAATGTCCCTCTTTGTTGCCTTCACCTTCCCCAGTTACACACTATGTTAAATAGCAAACCTTTTAACTTGTAGAAAACTGATGGAACAAAAGAATGAAAAGTAAAATCAAGAAAAGGTGAGATGGAGAGTACGGTTAGCAAGGATGGGGTTGCAGCTGGCCAGGGGAAATAACTTGAAAAGCTCTATAGCACAAGGCTGGGGACATGGCTCAATGGTGTACGCCTGCCTAGCATGCCCGAGGACCTGGTTCAACCCATAGTACCACGAGAGAAAAAAGTGCTACAGCACAGCAGGTTAACTACGGCTGACAATAATTAAACAAGTATTTCAAAACAGCTAGTAGAGAGGATTTTACATAATTCTACATCATCTCAACAAAGAAATGTAATGTCTAAGATGATATGGCAGATATGCCAATTATCCTAATTAGATCATTATACATTATGTACCTTGTTTTCAAACATTACATGGTATCTCATAAATGTGTATAATTACAATGTGGGTCAATTAAAATGCATTCAAAAAAAATTAAAAGACACTAAGAAATCAACTTAAGTTTTCCTCAACTTACTTGTTTTATATTTGACAGTGAGAAATACACAGGTTAAGTGAATTACTATGAAACTATATTCTTTTGTTCCACATGTAGGTTGAATGGAAATTATGTGTGGGAGACAAACAACATAGAGGGCTGGGTGAGAACAGGAGAAGCTCTCCCATTAGGCCAACCAGGCCGGTTCTCTGATAACCACACCACTGAGAAGCCACATGACCCCATTACTTGTTCCAGGTAAGAGTTCCTGTGTACAGACAAAGAGCTATGGGTACTTCTTGTTAGCTAAAGGTGAAAAAGGTTTCCTCATAATTATCATAATGCAACTATAACCACAAAGAAGAAATGCTGAAATTTCAGAGTGTGTATGTGTGTGTGTGTGTGTGTGTGTATATATATATATATATATAAATACACATATATAAATATATATATTTTTTGTAAATTCAGCTAATAGGCATTTCACATTATAAAATAACACGATTTTAAATATAACTATTGACACAAAAATCATAAAATAAAATTTATGAAGCAACATTAAAGTCTTTATAATAGAGTTTGTAAATATTAGAAATTAACAAGTGAACAAATACAAATGTCTGGTATATCATTTTCATATATTTAAAACCACAAAAAATGTACATTGGCAAAGGCGGGGGAGGAATAGAGAAAAATAAAAAGAGCAGGTTTGCTAATACCCAAACTAGGAAAAAAAAAAGAATATAATTCAATATTTCTTGTAAACAAATATCAGCAAATTCAATCCAACAATGTACAGAAAGAATTATATGTTATGAACAAGAGTAATTTATTCTAGGTATTTGAGGCTGGTTAGAATAAGAAAAGCAATCATTAAAAGAGAGGGAGGAAGGAAAGTAATCAATGTAATCCATCCTATCCATGAGGCTAAAACAAGAAAAATAATATAATTATATCAACTGAAGCAGGAAATATGTTTAACAAAAATCTAACAGCTATTCATAACTAAAAACTCATACAAATGGGGAACTTGTTCAACTTGATATCAAATATACACAAAAAACCCTACAGCTAGTATCATACTTAATAAGAAACTAGATGCTTTCCCCTACTTAAGATCATGAACTAGGCAGGAAAATCCTCTCCCCCAACTCTTATTCAACATCAGACTTGAAATCCTAGCTAGTACCATGAGACAAGAAAAGAAAATAAAAGTATTCAAAATGGGAAGAGGAAAAAAAAAATCTGTTTATAGATGGCATAACTGTCTATGTAAAAAAAATCCCAAAGAACTAAAAGAAAAACTAGAATATTCGTTATTAGCAATCATTAAAAAGTAACAGAATATGAGCCTAATTGCTGATATATACATAATTTCCTATATATCAGCAATGTCTAGGATTGAAATTAAAAACAGGAATCATTAATTAAACCATGAAAAAAAAATCCAGGTTTAAATCTAACAAAACATGTACAGAATCTATATGAAGAAAACCATAAAACTCTTACAGAAGGAATCAAAGAAGACCTAAGTAAAAGGAAAAATATTTGTTCATCGATTGGAAGACTCAACATTGTCAAGATGTCAGTTCTTCTCAAGTTGATCTATACAGAGTGCAATCCCTATCAAAATCAGAGCAAGCTGTTTAAGGGATACTGACAAACTCATTTCTAAAGTTTATAGAGAGAGACAAAAGACCCAGAATAGCCAACCCAATACTGAAGAACAAAGCTGAAGGGCTGATGCTAGCCCATATCAGGGCTCAACCACAAAGCTATAATAATCAAGACAGCATGGTAGTCCTGACAAAGTATGAGATAAATAGATCAACAGAACATAACACATCTACAGAAATACAGTGAAGCGATCTTTGACCAAGGAGTAAACATAATTCAATAGAGAAAGGATAGTCTTTACAACAATGGTGCTTTAACAACTGGACATCCATATGCAAAACAAAACAAAAAAATCTAGACAACTTACACTTTTCACAAAAATTAACTTAAACTGGGCATGGTCTCACGCCAGTAATCCCAGTGGCTCGAGAGGCTGAGGCAGGAGATCGCAAATTCAAGGCCAACCTCAGCAATTTAGCAAGACATTCAGCAATTCAGAGAGATCCTGTCTCTAAATGACATACAGTGGTCGAGTGCCAACCCCCAAGTTCAATTCCTGGTATCCAAAATAATCATCATCATCATCATCATCATCATCATCATCATCATCTCAAAATGGATTGCAGACCTAAATGTAAATTTCAAATCTGTAAAATTTTCTGTATGACATATCTAGAAGATATAATCTCAGCAACTGTGGGTTTGAGAACATTTTTAGATACCATACCAAAAGCACAATCCATCAAAGTAAAAAGCTAGTAAGTTGCACTTTATAAAAATTTATAAAAAAAATGTTGAATAAAAAGAATAAAAAGTAAAGCCACAGAGTGAAAGAAAATACTACAGAAGATTTGTCTGATAAAGGATTAGTACTCTCAAAATACACAAATTTTTTTTTAATTCAACAATAAAAACAAAACACTTTTTTAAAATGAGCAAAGATATGAACAACACTTAACTGAAAAAAAATGTACAGATGGCAAGTAAGCATATGAAAAGATGTTCAGCATCATTTGTCATTAGGGAATTCCAAATTAAAATAATAATGATGAGTGCTATACAACTATTAGAATGGCTGAAATCCAAAAACAGTGCCAAATGCTGATAAAGACCAAGAGCAACAGAATCCTCATGTAAAGTGGTATGGCACTTTTCAAATTTCTTATAAAACTAAACTACCCTTTACCATACAAAACAGCAACCACACTCCTAGATGTTATTCTAGTTTGAAAACTTGTGTCATACAAAAACCCAAATCCTTGAAAGTGAATGTTTATAACTGTTTTACTCACAGCTGTTCAAAACTGGAAACAACCAAGATAACCTTCAATAGGTGAATGGAAAACAAACTGTGGTCCATCCATACAATGGAACAGTATTCAGCAATAAGAAGAAGGAAGCTCTCAAGGCAGACACACACACAATGAAGAAGCTTCAGATGCTTATTGCTAGGTGAAAGACGTGAGTCTGAAAGGTTACAACATGCACAAATTCACCCGGAATCCATAAAAGGAAAAAGCAGAGACCAGTAAAAAGATCAATGTTTCCAGAGTTTGGGAGTACTAGGGAAGGATGAATAGATCAAACAGGCCTTTTAAGTGGTAAAATGATTCTATATATATGATACTGTAGCAGTAAAGAAGTCACATTATGTATTTATCAAAACCACAGAACTTTGCAACACAAAGAATAAATCTAAATGTATGCAAATTTCTAAAAAAATTACTTGGGAGACTGGAGAACCATGAAGGCACACAGGCTGTGGTGAGAGAATCTAGCTAGATTACACAAGTGTGAAACAATCTCACTGAAAGGTGCTACAGGAACAAAGGCAAACGAACAGTATCTAAGGTGGCGCTCCATCTGAGAAGGCTGCTTCCAGTGAGGGTCTAGACTGACAGTCTGACACTGCTATATGAGCATCTGGAACTGAACAATTAAGTATATGGATGGTGGCTGGTAGGAGGCAGGTTTCTCACTGTTTCAGTGGGAATTTATAGATAAATAAGGGCTTGAAGGTTTAAAATCAATTTTAGCTTAATATAAACACAAATGGTAATACCTGGAAATTTATATTATAAATATGTGCATATACACAAGTTAATACACACATTTTTTTTTCCTGTCATCTGAGAGGGCTAAAGGAAACAGCATCCCACTAGCAACAGTACACCTAAGGCCCAGATGTTCATCCATAATTCCATTCTGCAATCAAAGGAATGAGGGCTACTGGGAGAAATGGCTGGTTCTCAGACTGGAAGAAATATTCAAGATGAGCTTGGAGCATCTTATAGTGTCAAGAAGGTAAGGATGTACTCAAAAAACAAAAACAAAACTCAAACCCACACTGATGGAGACGTATCAAAGAAACACAGGAGTCAACTGAAAGAGCACCCCAAGTCCAAAGTTGGAATAATTTCAGCAACAAAATAACACAGTATTGGATTTATAATGCTAAATCTTTGAGTCCATACTATTACATATGATTAAAAAATAATGGAGGAGACAAATTCCCATGCAGAAGAATTCTGAATAGGTTACCTAGATACCTTGCCCTAAAGAGAGAGGGTGTAACCCCTCCCTCATTAAGTGTGGAATGTACACAACTCCTTCCAAACAGTACAGTGTGGAAGGAGGAATAAGGAGAAGTATAGAGGTGAACAAGGTCAACTAGTAAGACAGTGATTTGCTGACGTGCTAGCAGTATTGGCAATCAGTCATTGTTGTTGTTAAGATGCTGT